GAGCGATGGTCTGTGACATTCCTGTACCCCACGTCGCAATGATCACAGTAATATTGGTTCCCCGTTACTCCAGGCATGGATATGATGGCATCGTAATGATGGTCGTCTAACAATATGTTCAAACAAGTTCCGTCTCCCCAGCCTTTGAAGATGCGCTCTAAGGTGAGTTTAGTCGAATTAGACTTGAACTGAAATATTTTCAGTCGATACTGGGGAGCTAACACCTGTTGTAATTTCGTCCACTCTGCATATCCACAAGCTTGAGTGATATCAAACTCGGCCTGTTCCATGAGGGCTATGGCTTGGTTCTTCTGGTCATTGGCTCTTACATCTCCCTTCCGCATACGAAGCCATTGTTTTTCCCATTCGGGGTCTGGATGTTCGGGTTTTTGACTGTGTAATCGAGTCACGACGATGGCTCTAGCTAAACAAAATTTATCCCAGGGATTGACGATCCGAACGATGGATTGCTTATTGTTCTTAAAAGTCTCCTTATTCACTTGTAGATGTTTGGTTTTCTGGCCACCACTTCCCTCGGGATACTTGACCCGAAACATATCAAATTCCATGCCCCCGTCGCCCAGTTTGAACTCCTTTCTGGATTGTTGCACACGTTCTATTTTGTCTAAAATGACGTCCTCGTTAAAATCTTTACATTGAGTAAACTCGTACCAAATCTCTGATTCCAGAGATTTGTGGCGTATGTTCAGGCGGAGGTAATCGTTAGGATTACACTGCATTTTTGATTTGAAAGTTTGTAACATGTGTCTGAATAATCGCCGAACGAATTCCTCTGTTTTTTCTCCTCTGGAAACTCCTTAAAAATCACAGTGTAAAAATCCTCTTGAGCTTTAAATTTTTTAGAGCGCACCCTTCCATTTACTGTGACTCGATAATACTGGGATATGGCCTTGGGTTTGGGTGGTGAATGAATAGGTAACTTTGACCCCTCATGCGCCCTAGTCCTTTGCTGTTGCTGTCGTTGTTTTTCTAGTTGAGCTCTTCTCTGTAATACATGTAGTTTTTTTGGCATTTCTTTTCCGAAGCTTTAATTCTCGCTCTTTATTTTCATCAAGAATTTGATTTAATTCTCTTTCCCGTAATTGTCGTTGTAGCTGTTGTTGTCGTTGTTGTTCTAATTGAGCTCTTCTCTGTAATCTTTCAGCATTTCTTTTCCTAAGCTCTAATTCTCGCTCTTTATTTTCATCAAGAATTCGTTCTAATTCTCTTTCCCTTTTTTTCCATTCTAATAATCGCTGAGCATGTAACTGTTTTTCTCTAGTAGAATCCATGACCCCCCCCACACGCAGGGAGCTGGATCTGACTGTAGAATGAGCCGAAAGTAGGAGAAAAGCCGTATTTATACAGTGGATGACGTCACAATGCATAGGTAAGCATATTTTTTGCACACGGCCCTTACAGATGATGCAACAGGTATATAAAGATGATGCAACAGGTATCAAAAAAGATGCAATAGATATCAAATAGATGATGCAATAAGTATAAAAAGATGATGCAACAGGTTGTATGTACTGAATTGACCCACTTATCCCCTCCAGGGGCTGCACTCCCTTGACCCACCTATCCCCCACAGGGGCTGCACTCTGTTGACCCACCTATCCCCCTCCAAACCTGCACTCAGTTGACCCGCCTATCCCCCCAACCCCAAAAGTGCACTCAGTTGACCCAGCCATCCAGGCCCCTTATACTACTTATAAATCTCCAAGATATTTCTTAGTTTACATATTCTTGATCAAATCATCGATAACAGTGTATATTCTTGATCAGGACATCCAACCGAGCGGTCTTACAACATATTTCATAATGTCAGTTTGCATGAATAAATCAATTTATCCTTGTTTCTCATATCTTGAAAATAGATGCCGAAATTCTAGTCTACAGTTTACTTACACAGCACATCACAAATAGAAACATTCAGGAAAAAAAATTCACAAAAAATAAAATCCAAGTAAAACAATCACATGTACATACAAATCCAAGAAATATTAGGTAATAGTCCAAGTAAGTGAGTAACTTTATCTATCTCTAACAGTTCTATCTACTAAGTCTTCTATATTTCCATCTTCCTATCTTATTCTAAAATTCTGTTGCACTATATATATACTCAAGATCAGCTCCTGACAATCAGGAGCACATTAAGATCCTTAAGATCAGGAGTCAATACACAGGTCATTACGATCAGCAGGGGGTTAGATAAGAGAGGGCGATTAATATACAGATAAGATTTATATCGTAAGTGTAGATGATCATGTGTGAACAATTAAGTAATGAAGGGTGATTTACAGATAAGATATTTTAAATCGTTACAAGTTTACATATTCTTGATCATATCATTAATGAGTATATATTCTTGATCATGGCATCTGTATTGGATTCCTCTCTCTGACATCTTTTCTTGTTCACCAATTAGTTCAACAGTCATCTAGGTACTCAGGTGTTGTAAAGTCCTAATAATAATAATTTTCAAAATTATAAAAAAAAACAATTTTTAAAGAGGTTTTCATTAATTCTATTGAAATTAAAGCACAAGCTTTTGAAGACATATTTAAGTAACTTAAAACATGTATAACTAAACATAATGGAAATTTAGACAATGCGACTCAATGTCAAACATATGATAGTGACACATCTGTAATATCCATGAAACTTACTGAGATACTTAAAATGTTTGTGGCTTGCTTTCACTAAGCTAAGCAATACAATATATAAACATTTCTTGATTACACGTTGAAGTCCAAGGCTTAAAAAAATAAGTTTGTTTCCTGTAACATTCCCAAAATATCAAGGGTCGGTAGGTCGGAATTAATTTTTTTTTTTGCTTATGAATGGTGAAACATCCCCGGACTGAAAATACCAGGTGTTATATTTACAGTGGACACCCAACATGGCATCCAAAATGGCTGCCTAGCGGCAGAAAACGAACTTCAGAAAGTTGTAGGGGGAAACTGTTGTTACAATAATGATTACTCTTTATATATTTAAGGTAAATGTAAACTAGGTTGACATATTTTATGTCTCAAATTAAGCTACAAGCTATTGTTTTAATTTAATAAATGGAATCAGCTGATTGATTAAACAAAGTTTTGCCATTTGTCAGGAAAAAAAAATCCACCCAGGGATAATTTGAATGGGTCGGTCGGGTTACAGGAAACAAACATAATTTATTTTTAGGCCCAATCCTCACCTGACTTGCCATTCATATGGATTGGTTCTATGTTGATAATCCCATTCAACAATCTTCATCACAACATCTGAAAGTCACCCATCTTCAAAATTAAATCTGCCGCTCACCTCAAATGTATATATAGACTCCCTGTACAAGTGCATGGAAAATAAAATTTTGAAATAAAAATGAATTATCTCTTCACCATACCCGGCCTCTTTAAAAAATGTGAGAAAATAATTTAAATACTTTTCTTTAGATAAAATCATGTAGTGAGTATCCAGCAATGGTGAAAAAAAAGTTATCTCTATAATTTTACATTTATATTGAATGAAAAATGCAGTGTTCCCTCTACTTAAAAAAACTCAAAAGACATTACCTAAAATGGAAATAAGGTACAACTGTGACTGGTGTCTCAGGCACAACAAATAAACACAAGACCTTTCCATCCTTAGCAGCACGCACTAGCTCCACATTCCTTGTTTCTACAAAAAAAATACAATGAAATTTTAAAAAAATGAGAGCGAAGAGTGTTACATGTACTTGGGGGAACAGAGGAAGGAATTTTGAAGTCAGATTAACTATATTTCTGCCAGTGTTGGGACGGATAAATTTCCATAATAAAATTAAACGAATAATTCGTAACAAATAAGACACATGTATTACCTTGCAGTCACCATCACGCATTATGTATAAACATTTCTTGATTACACGTTGAAGTCCAATCCTCACCTGACTCGCCAATTCATATGGATTGGTTTTATGTTGATAATCCCTTTCAACAATCTTCATCACAACATCTGAAAGTCATCCATCTTCAAAATTAAATCTGCCGCTCACCTCAAATGTATATAGACTCCCTGTACAAATGCATGGAAAATAAAATTTTGAAATAAAAATGAATTATCTCTTCACCAAACCCGGCCTCTTTAAAAAATGTGAGAAAATAATTTAAATACTTTTCTTTAGAAAAAATCATGTAGCGAGTATCCAGCAATGGTGAAAAAAAATTATCTCTAGAATTTTACATTTATATTGAATGAAAAATGCAGTGTTCCCTCTACTTAAAAAACTCAAAAGACAATACAGTACCTAAAATGGAAATAAGGTACAACTGTGACTGGTGTCTCAGGCACAACCAATAAACACAAGACCTTTCCATCCTTACCAGCATGCATTAGCTCCACATTCCTTGTTTCTACAAAAAAAAATACAATGAAATTTTTTTTAAAAATGAGTGCGAAGAGTGTTATATGTACTTGGGGGAACAAAGGAAGGAATTATGAAGTCATATTAATTATATTTCTGCCAGTGTTGGGACGGATAAATTTCCAAAATAAAATGAAACGAATTATTCGCAACAAATAAGACACATGTATTACCTTGCAGTCACCGTCGCACATAATGTATACAACTGACAACATCCCAAATCCCTTTCTTTGTTGTTTACTTGGCGGAATTTTCTTTGCCTTTTAGACTGGTTCCCATACATTGCCGTGAATAAGTCCTACGTTTATTGGTTTTGTTTACAAGCTTCAATATCAATAAAATCTCCCGCACATTTACAGTCTGTATTGTAATCTACTAAAACATACTTTACACACAATTTTTCAGCTCAGTATTATGTTATCCTCTTCATTCAAGTAATATGTAAACTCTTCTCGAATGTAAAACGAACGATCTACTCTGATAAGTAACCCAAATATGGCACTGTGTATTCGGTTGAATAGCCAATCATTTCAAATCAAGTGGAGCGGGTCTGCATCGCTATTTTGACGAAGTTTGCAACCTGTGGTAATTTTTTGAAACCTCATATAGATTTAAGGAGATTCTTGTCTTGACAACTGCTTGAACCCCCAGATTGGCATGCACTGCAGGTTTGTTTACGATTTCCAGCCGTTTTCACTTTCAGCATAGATCATTATCAGTACATCGTGCATGTATTGAAACAATGAAAGTCAGGCAAAAATACGCTGTATATGTTATTTACTGCCAGAATGTTAGATTAGTATTTTGATAATTTGGGGATTAAATGTTTATGGGTTTCAGTTTATTCTGTAAAGGTGTATGTCTCTGGAATATTAAACAAGACATGTAGTGGGACTAAAATGAGTAGTTAAAACCGAGCCGGGCCGGGAATTTGAAACTGAAACCGGGTTTTTGCTAATTACTGAGAATATACACAATCAGTTGTCAAAAAACTTAGTTACAGATGTATTTATGCCTTGGCTGAGAGTTTCAACTCCGAAATTGACAAATAAGTTTATTTTATTTATAACATTTTGTATTTTAATTGTGTCCATTTTGTTAAAATCCAGGTTGAGTGAAATCAGTATGCAGATTGTTGAAGGGAAAACATCAAGACGGGGCAAGGAAGATGACAAAACATGACTGAGGATTCCAAAGTTTTTTGGTACAAGCACATTTTTAAAAAAATCAAATAATAAGTATCGTGAAATGTTACTTGGACAAACATTTGCATTATTTTATTTATTTAGTGCTTGACTTGCTCGGGAGTCATTATTGTCAAATGTATTCATATAAAATGTTCAATTTCTTTTGTATAGGCTCAAGCTACTCAGCCTACCATGAGAAAATTAAAGGATCTGCCATGAAGAAGAGGCGGGTTCTAAAGTTTCATATTATAGATGGCAAGTATTGTTTAGATTTAATTTTAAAGTATTCTTGATAAAAATCAAAGTACTGAGAGTACTGATAGGCGGAAGCATGTTTGCAAGTTCTCATGTGCAAAACTTTAATGACACATATTTGAAGCATAATCTTTTCTAAAGGGGGGGGGTGATAAATATTTTGATGGATTGTAGTATTGAAACCAAGGAACAAGAATAAACAATATGTCTCGGTTTTGATGCGGATACATGAGAAAAAGTCACGTCGATAGCAATATGAACATTTTAACATTTATTATACCCCCGCTTGAAAAGTGGAAGGGTATATTGTAATCGGTATGTCTGTCCGTACGTACGTCTAGCTGTCCGTTCGTCCATCTCTTACGCTTTGGGGTACTCATATCTTATCCGCAATTCCTCTTATACCACTGAGTGAAATTTAATGAAACCTTCACAGAATCTTTATTACATATTGCCATTGTGCACCTCCTCTTTTATTTTTTTATATGTCACATATTTTGGGTTTCCCGGCCACAGCAAAACATGGGCTTTTCCATTATAATCATATGGGAGGCGGGGGTATCATTTAGTCAGTTCATTGCTCACAGTACCTCTTGTTTTTGTCAAGTATAACAAGTTAAAATTGAAATGCAAGTTGCAATACATGAAATTTGTAAGATATGGTTTTGGGGAACAAGAAATGGAAAATTATAAAATTTCACACAAAAATGAGAACTAATGAGTAATAAAAAACAATAAATATCACAACTGCTTTTGCGTTTTGTATGTGTACATGTATTAAGTTTTAGTACCAATGAAACAAAGTCTTGTTATAAAACAGCAAATTATATAAGGAATACAACATACACAGAAGACCTTACAAAGATTTACAATGTGCTTGTGGTTCTATGAATTGTTTTCATTCAATACATGTATGGCCCAGGTAGAACAAATCACACAAGTCTTTAATGCTGGTGACAGGTGAGCCCTGTGTCATGATGTTCACAATAAATGGAATATTTTTTCAGGAAAGCTTCTGCCATGGCAGACCCTTGAATGCCAGACAGTTTTACTTTTATTCCTGTGGTAAATTTGTCTTTGATGATTGTATTAAAATATTGGTACATACATCCCAATATCAGTGGTAATTTCTTTTCTGGAGATTATCTACACGATTCCCTTCACAACTGTCTCTTGGCGGAATTTTCTACAAAGTGTATAATTGAAAAAAATTAAGAATATCTCGCAATGTTTATTTAACAAAAATTATTTCACATTATGTATCTGACCTTCAATAAATGAAATCAAGGACTTCAAATAACCTTTTATGTTATACCGGTTATTTTAATATATTTTCTAGGGAAGTGAACTTTACCGGGTACTCGATCCAAGGTCCAAGTATCGAATACTAAAAAAAGTTACTCGTTTACTCGGATGTATATTATTTCTTTTTTCAAGGTACACATTTTTATCAGAAACTTATCAATTATAACTAAAACATGCAAATGGTAATTATGTCTTCATCTACACCTAGCTGTAAAACACCCGTTATCGCCTTGATCTACATTCATTCATTCAGTGAAATCTGACATGCAAAGAAATTAATGCCACTTACATACCCACTTCCAGAGTGAAGTGGGTATATAGATATAACAAAAGATTCAAAACTGCGGAAAGTGAACTTGTGTAGTAAGTTTAGTGTAAATATACTGGAAACAACCAACAAATGAAATATGATCCTGACCGACAACATCTGTCCCCTCTCTTTCGCTAGTTATACACATGTATAACCTATGTACACAGCAGTTTTTCAAATAGATCCAATTAAAACAACCTTTTGTAATTTTGGGTGTATTGTGCATTTGTGTTTTATTTGATAACTAATTTTAGTACCAAAAATTATTTCCAATGGAATTCATAATTATCTGTACATGTAATGAAAAAGTCAGATATCGAGTAAGCGATTATTAAACATGATAAATATTGACCGAATTGACTTCTCTAATATTTTTTTGTATTTGTTTTCTCTTTCAAAAGCCTATATTATAAGTAATCATGTATTTACATGTATTTAGAAAAAATGAAAAGAAAATAAGTCAACAAAAAATTAGAAAAGTCAAAATATACTTTCAAAAATAGTATTCTTTTCAGTTTTGCCATCAAGACAAGAAGATTTGTTATGCTATAAAAATATGTATCATAAGTTATGAAAATTTTTTCCACTTATCTAGAAATATAATAAAATTGATGTACTCACCTTCAGAAAAGTGTTTCTGGTTGTGCTGAGTTGAGTTTTCTTCTGCCATTTAGAGGTGGCACAGGGCAATTCCACAATGCAATCTTAATTATATCCCCTTTCTGTTAGCTGCCTCCGCAGCAGGGACACATGTATACAAAACACAATGTAGTTCTTATGCTTGCGTTTTAATTTCTGTCCAGATTTTACAGTTTTGGCCCATCCTTCAACATACATGTATTAACATTAAATGAGAAAGGATATATAAATGTATACACAAACTCGGCATGATAATTCCTCAAATAATTTCTCCCTGGCATGTAATCATGGTAATTAGAGTACCAGTTCGTTCGATAAGACCCGACCATAACAGCTATCATATTACGATATCTAACATGTCTAAAGCATGCCTGCATAGGGAGACGACATTTTCAGGTTAAAACAATCAAAGATAAGGGTGACAATAAAAGATAGGCTAATCACACAGCATGAGTTACCTTGTTTATTTTGAAGAGAAGGCCTGTCACTTCCAGTCAATCATTGTAAATCATTTGTGCTCCACGTGGGTTTGTTGACAATAATTTCACGCTGAATCGTCTATATGTTAGATTGTACGCGAATGTAGTACACAATTGATAAAAAGAGTTGCATACCTCTTTTCTTCTATTTTATACAAGATTATTGAAAAGATAAGTTCCTCAGTAGCTATGTTTCTGTCATTAATTCTAAACATAATTACCTACTTGAACTATTTTGTCCCTCGTAGTATTTCTAAAGATCGCTTCAGTACCCCGTGCTAATCAAATGTGGAACCCGATTTGTTTATGTTTTAGACATACAGAGTTGTCGTTCGTTCTTCTCTCAAACGTGAAACGTATCAGCAGTAACAAAGTAACTATTCGTTCTATTATTAGGCTATTATTTTTATTGGACTTTTTTACATAAATCAAAATGAATAGTTAAAATAAATTTGCCATAACACACGCTTTTTGATATGATAATAACGATAAAGATTGGGAAGGGGTCGAATATGATTAAGCGGGTTGTATGCCCTTAGTTTAAGATACATCCGTTTGGAGTACCATGAAGCGGGGCAAACATCTTGAGAAGTCGAAAGGTCAACAAAGCATGCAAAAGTAAAAGGCGGCTTCCGCCTAAAAAGGTGTTTGGCAGTTCATAGCTATTAACTGTGATTGCATTGTGTATGAATTTTCAAAATCAATTCATTCTTTGGTAACCGTGTGCTTCAAACACATAATTTTTAATAAAAATATTGACTATATATTTGTCCAGGTGTATAAAATGTTAATCACTGTATGAATTGTATTTCAGCATGATTGTCATCTTCAATTTGAGGGACTCTCACCTAAAGTCCTTTTACTGTTCCATATCAGGAAAAAGTTCATGAGCAGAAACATGCTGTTTGGGAAAAAGGTACATATATCCTAACCCATAACTTGAGTGTGATTCTGTACACATGTACAGCCAAGCTAAATATGTAGCACTATTTTGTTCTTTTTGTAAACTGACTACTGAGTAGTCAGGAAAACCTATCATTTCTTTATGTTTCAGGGATTTACTCTTTGATTGTGATAAGTACCCTTAAAAAGTACATAATTCTCAAATTGTAATTTTAGGCATTAGGCTTTTTGTGATAAGGGATACATGACCTAACCCATTGATTCTTCATATAATATGTCAATAACAAGAGGTCCACTCATCA